GTGTAAGAACCTGGGGCCTGATGTGCTGTGTCTTGTGTCCTGCATAGTTACATGCACCTTCAGGCTTGTGAGGAGTCTGTAATGGGTGTCCACTGGTGTTCTTTGTGTGGGGAAGAACTTGAGCAGAAGGCCCTGGCCAAGTGTTAGTTGAGAGGTTTTCTTGCAAGACTCTGTTTCCAGGTAACTTGGCTAAAACTGTCATGCTAAGGAGGGAAGAGCCATCAGTGCTGCTCTGCTGATGTGCTGCTGGCTTGTTCTGTTCGGTGGTGCCCTGCAGGCCCAAGCTAAAGCACAAGTACTTGTTCAGAGGACAGCTGAATGGTTGCAGAGCTCTTTCTGTTAACTACAGCTGTCAGGAGTAAATGCAGTGGATGCTCCATATGGTGTTTTTCTTAAGGTCTTATTAAAGGCATTAAAGCATCATTTGTCATCAGCAGAATGGGAAGGCGGTTTATTTACCCAGAGCCCTTCCTTGAGCTGTCAGCATCTGTAAGCCCAGCTCCTTAGGGCTCATCTTTACTCCCATCTCTTCTAAAAATTGACTTGGTCAGTGTTACCTGGAAGGTCTAGTTCTGAAGTGTCTGTGAATGGCAGCACAGGCCAGGAAGCTGCATGGTCCTGAGCAGGTGCTGGAAGTCTGAAATTGCAAATCTAACCAGCACATGGAAGAATAAAAGCTGTTCTGGGCCTGGTTGGGCACCTTTCTGTTGGGGTGCCTTTCCAAAGGTGTGTGCTGTGAAATGCATGTGGAGCTAAATTTCTGGTGAACAAGGATGTGGAGTTGTTGGAGAGACCCTAGAGGAGGAGATGCTGTGAGGGCTGGAGCAGCTCTGCTCTGGAGCCAGGCTGAGAGAGCTGGGCTGGGTCAGCCTGGACAAGAGAAGGCTCCTGAAGGGGAGACCTTAGAGCAGCTCCAGTGCCTGAAGGGGCTGCAGGAAACCTGGAGAGGGGCTTGGGACAAGGGATGGAGGGACAGGCCAAGGGGAATGGCTTGAACCTGCCAGAGGGGAGACTGAGATGAGCTCTTAGGCAGAAGCTCTTCCCTGTGAGGGTGCTGAGGCGCTGGCACAGGGTGCCCAGAGAAGCTGTGGCTGCCCCATCCCTGGCAGTGTTCAAGGCCAGGTTGGACACAGGGGCTTGGAGCAAGCTGCTCTAGTGGAAGGGGTCCCTGCCTGTGAAGGGGTTGGAACTGAATGAGCTTTAAGCTCCCTTCCACCCAAACCAGCTTGTGGCCCTATGAGCCCAGTAGCTCAGTGGTTGGTAACTGGATTTAAAAGGTAGCTTGGGATCTGTGGGATGGAGTTGGCCTGAAGAGTAGGAACAAGCCAAGCTGTGAAGCCCATGCTGTGGGCTCAGTGTAGCTGTGTACTGCAATGTGAAGCATCTGGCTTGGGTGCGATGGGTCCAAGATGCTTGCATGTGCTCCCCTAGGTGTGTTTAAGCATCCTGGAATAATGCAGGAATGAAGGGCACACATTACAGCAGCACTGTGCTGATAGTTGAGCTTTTCCTAGTAAATTCTAAGGAGGAGGAGTGGTTTGTGGGGCTCCATGGAATGACCTGAGTGCCTGCGAGCTGGACGAGCGCCACACTAGGATCGAGCCTGCTCCACAGAGCTCTTAAATCTGTCAGCATTTGGCTGACATGCTCCAAGATGGAGCACACTGGCTCCAAATCCAGGCATTAAAGCTGCAGCAGTGAGGCAAAAGTCAGAGCTGAGTTTCTATTAAAAGCTGCCTTTCTGCTGTCCCCTGCAAAGGAGCATTGGCATGTGCCTCGCTTGCAGCTCTGGTTGGAGGCAGGGAAAGTTCCAGAAGCTCCCTGCAACCAGCTATGCTCCAGCTGCTGTGGGAGTGCCTGAATGGGAACAGTGGTGACCCTTCACTTAAAACTTCCCCCCAAGATGTGGAAAGTACTTTGTTTGCACTGAGGGAGTTGGGTTTAGTCTGATGTTTGCTGCTTCCTCTGGTATCTTCAGGGATGCTTTTGGCACCAGAAATTGCTGATGCATCTTGTGTGTGCACTGGGAGTATTTTTTTTTTTTCCCTTGGAGCTGCCTGCTTGGGAGGGGAGACAAGGCCAGCTTCCCTACAAGAGCTGTGGTTTTACTAACCAGCCCTGATGGCTTGAGGGCTTGTTTTAGGTGGGCAACTTTGAGAGGCTCTTGCACCCCAGTCAGTGGGGATTCTATGGGTTAAAGCTGGATGCCTTTGGGCTGGGGAGTGAGAACTAAGATCTGGCTTCTCCTGCAGGTGTTTCCGAGGCTGCCTGCAAAGCTGGGCTTAAGGGATCCTTGCTGTGCGAGTGGAGAGGAGGAAACTGAGTGTGGCTCATGGCTTTTCCTCCCAGTGTCCCTGTGAGTGGCTGTAGGTGCTGAGTGAAGCAAGTCAGACCCACTGAGGTGATGTGGGGGGGTCTCCGTGAGCTCTGTGACCGAGCACCTGTGCAGCATCCTTCTGGGGTGGATGAGGTCCATCTGCATTAACAGCAGGTTAGGAGTGGGTCAGTTGGAGCTGGCAGGTTTTTGCTTGGTGCTGACACTCGGATGCCCAGACAGCAGATCCCTTCAAAGGCCAGTAATGCTGCTGCTTGAATGCACTTGTACTAGCCTTACTGGTTTTCTAGGTGCGGTGAGAGCTGTGCAATACTGGGAGCAAATGTGTAATTGGTGGCTGTAGCAAGCTGGAGTGGTGGCAGAGATGAGGGTGGAATCAATGATGCAAAGCTGATGGACCCTGTAATGCCTTTGGGAGCTCCTGATGAGCCCCTGAGTTCTTTCTGATGCATCCCCACATCCCAAATGGAGTTCTGGTCCTGCATCTCTGATAACCAGGAGGCGAGGTGCAGGACAGCATTGACTGTTAGCAATCTGCATGACATTCCCTGCTCCAGATCTGTCAGTGCTGCGTGCACGGGGTCAGCACAGGGTGTTACAAACCCACCGTGCTCAGTGGCTGAGGAGGGTGTCAGTGCTGGAGTGTGTGTTGGCAGCAAGGTTTGGGCTGTGGGAGCAGCTGCTTTGCTTTGACTCTTGTGCTGTTTAGTGAATAATCAGATTTTTGAGCCCGTTTCACACATTCATCTGTCTCCCTTGAACAATGCACTGGCTGTATTTTTAAACAAATCACGTGGCTTCAGGGAAGTGGCCAAACCAGCGTAGAGCAGCTTGCCTGGGCTGGGAGATGCTCTGCCCTGGGCTGGGACTGGGAGGGGAGGGAAGGAACGGAACAGCCTCCTCGCCAGCTCTAGCTGCTGCTGCAGTGTTCCCTCTGCTGCCCACCACTGCTGGTGGGGCTGCTGCTGCCCCAGCTCTGTCCGGGGTAAGTACCACTGCCCAGCAAGTGCTTTGTGGCACTGGGCTGGCTGTAAGCACAGGGGCTGCTGCTGGGAGAGCCAAACAGATACTCAAAGTGCCTGAGGTCTGTTCACAGTGCCGCCAGAGGTGAGTTCATAGACCTGTGCAGTAGCCAGAATGTATCTGTGCCTCTGTTGGGAGAACTCGCAGGGATAATGCTGTGTAAGTGGGGAGATGCTGTGACTGTCGCTGCTGCTCCTGCAGCTCTGCCTCAGATTGAGGTAGATCCTTCAAGTAAAGGATCCACCTCCATGTCTGTGGGGTTTCTGATGTCTTGTGAGGCTGGAGATGCTGGCTCCCCAGCAGGTGTGCCACTGGATAATGTGGCTTGGGATGGGTCTGTCCCAGCACCTGGCTTTGGGTGTGTGTGACAGCTTTCTGTGATGCTGGCGCTGAGGTGGTGCTGGTGTCTGGCAGAGCAGTTGAGTATGGTGGCATTTTTTTACTCACCTGGTTTGGGCAGTGTCTTGGATTGTTAATGCTCTTCTGCTCAAGAGCTACTGAAAACCTTGGTTGTAAAACCTGTGGTCGTAGCTGGATGGGCTAGGATGGGTCTGGAGGATATCAAGTGGATCCCAAACTTGCTTTGCTGAAAACTGAAAGCTACAGGGTGAGCTGCCTTGTTTTGCAGCCTCTGAATAATTAAAACCATTTCTGAATGCTTTGCTCTTCCCATTTGGTTTGGGGACACATTCAGCTTGCTGAGACTTGCTCCTTTTGAATAGAGCTGGCTGGTGTCATGCCCCTGTGGGATGCAGTGTGGCTGAGTCTGCCCTGTGTTCCCTCCCCTTCTGGGTGGCAGCTGATCCCACACTACTGCCCTATGGAGCAGGGTGGAACTTTGACCCTTCGGTGGCCCGGTGCTCCAAGCACAGGGCAGCTCTGTTTGCAAGAAGGAATTTGCTTGCTTTGGTTCCTCAGTGGGAGGAAAAGCTGCTGCATGAGGGAAGCAGCCTGGTGTGCGCCTGTCTGTCTGCTCTGGGGCAGGGGCCTGACCAGACAGGCTTGTTGTGAGCGTGGCCTGGGGATGGTGCTGCTGCTGACTGGGAAGTGTGTCCTTTGTCAGCAGGCTAGGCTGGCACACTGCTGTCTGCCTGGAGCAGCTTCTCTTGGGGTTGGTGTGTGGTGGCCCGCTGTGGAGGCTCACATGCCTGCTCATGGGCCAGGCCTTGTTCCTCTCAGCCTGTGCAGCAGAGTGTGCAGCAGAGACTGGCCATGGGCCTGCTCTGTGCCCCCCTTGCTACAGCTGCATGGGCATCTGCACCGCTGGGGCCCAGCCTGCTCCCCTAACAACGCAGGCTTGGTGGAGCGGCCTGTGTGGAGCACCTGCATAAGGTCCATAACCAGGACATGGGGGCTATCATTCTCTTCCCAGATGACATCAGATCTTCTGGCTGATCTCAGCCTTGGGAGAGTAACGCATGCTTTTGTCTGTCACCACACTGGGCTGCTGCTGCTGGCTGCAGCTGATGGCAAAGAATGCAGCCTGGCTGGAGCTGTGTGGAAGGCTGGTTCCTGCCACATGTGCTGCTGGCTATGGGCTGAGAGGAGCTCAGTGCCCTCCTGGGCTGCTGCCACGGGAGCTGGGAGGGAAGGCAGGAGGTGTGTCATGCTGCAGTGCTGATGGGCTGTGTTTCTATTGCAGTTCTCAGCATGCTGAGTAACCCTCTGGGGAACGTCCTGGGGAAGCCCCCGTTGGGTTTCCTGCCTCTGGACCCCATTGGCTCTGACCTGTCAGAAAAGTTTTCCACACCAACACTGAGGAATTCCCGCCTGGACTCCCGCTCCCTCCTGGACTCCCGCTCCAGCAGCCCCTCGGACTCGGACACCAGTGGCTTCAGCTCTGGCTCGGACCACCTCTCAGACTTGATTGTAAGTTTGGGTCTTGCACCCACTCTCTGATTCCTGGGGTGTCTTGTCATGTTTCTGGGAGCATGGGAGAGCTGGAGGGGCTGCAAGGCACAGCCCTGCCTACTCAGGAGGGGAAAAGAGTACTTCAAAGAGCTTGTCATGCCCACACAGACACAGCAAGCTTCTGCAGCCCAGGGTTTGGAAGAAGGGCTGCTCATGTGGCCTTTCCTGCAGCACAAATTAGCAATATCCTTGTATAATTTTGGTCTAAATAATATTTTGGCCTTTTAGCTTTGTGCTTGCAGCCCCAAGGGGTTGAAGTAGCTTCCAGAGGGGTCTGAGTGCTTGAGCTTGTGTGTGGCAGTGGGGTGTCTGTGCCCTGGTCCCAGCAGGGAGGTGGTTGAGTGGCACAGATGCCTCCAGGCTCCAGCCTGGACTTCTCAGAAGCTCCTGTCCCTGCCTTTCATTGCCCTTCCCATTTGCTGACTGCACTTCATCTCTGGGCAGCTGCTTCTAGAGCAAACTGGGTCTAGCCTACTCCCATTCCTTACAGCACAGCTAAATTTGGAAGCTAGTGAGTGTCTGTGTTGCTGCCCCAGTCTGTGCTGCTGGGTCTGTGTCACAGTGGCTCCAGCTAGCTCTGGCTGCTGCTGCAGGGCTCATTCTCAGGATCTGAAGGCCACAGCCAGGGACAAGCTGCTCCTGGCTCTGCTGTGGTGTAGCTGTGGCCTTGACCCCCACATTGGGGGGGCAGGAAGGACATGGTTGTCTTGATGTGGATTCTCCTAGAGGGTTGGCGTCTGGAGCAGGGACTCTGGTGATGGCAGGCAGTGTGAGGCAGCGGGGCTTTGTGCTGGCCTTGTTCGTAAGGTCAGGTCTCCCTTGTCATGGGATGGCACTCTGAGCTGCACAGCGTCTCCCATCCCTGCTGGCTCATTAATCCTTGCTTCTGCTCCATCCACCTGGGGAGGCATGTTCAGCCTGGAAGAGTTGGCTCTGCAGGCAGCCGAGCCCTGGGCTGGGAGCTGCTCTGCACAGGGTGAGTGCCTGCTGGCTGCCTGCAGAACTGGTGGGTGCTTCCAGAATGTCCTGCAGGCAGGGCCTTCAGTGGTGCACAAGGCTGCTCCTGGGGTGCCTCAGTGCTCCCTGGGGCTGGCAGCTGTCCTAGAGGCTGCACAGGCAGGGAGTAGCTGGTGGCTTGGTGGGCTGCAGGGTGCCTCCTGCTCCAGGTCCCTGCTGCTGCTCATGGTTTGGGTGGGAAATGGCTTCAGGGTTAGGCCCTTTCCAGGAAACCATGGTCCTGTCAGGCTGCTGGGGCAGTGAGAGGGCTGCTTTCCTGCTGTCGCCACATCTCAGAGGGTCTTGGGTGACCAGGAATTGCCATTAGGTGACCAGGAATTGCAGGTGAGGGCAGGGCCCAGTGTGGCACATGTCCTCCAGTATTATGTCATGTTACTCAAAGCTGGGTCTTAATGTGGATTTTTCTCTTGCAGTCAAGCCTTCGGATCTCCCCCCCTCTACCTTTCCTGCCCCTCAGTGGGGTGTCAAGAGACCCCCTAAAGATGGGAGTAGGGTCCCAGCTGGATCAAGATCAAGCTGCTCTGGCTGCAGTAACTTCCTCCCCAGCCAGTGCATCGAAAAGATGGCCTGGAGCATCAGCGTGGCCTTCCTGGGATCTTCTGGACTCTCCAGAAGACCCCTTCAGTATTGAAAGAGAAGCTAGGCTTCACAGGCAAGCAGCAGGTAAGTTGGATGATGGGTCTCAGCAGGCTTCAGTGGCAGCTGCCTCCTGCTGCTGCAGCTCTGCCGAGCCTATGGCTGTGAAACATGGGGATTTGTTTGGAGAACTATGGGAGAGCAAAGTAAATGGTCCTGTACTGAGTGTTGTTGGTGCTTGTCCAAGCTGTGAATGAAGCAACCTGTACCTGGAGTGGGCAGCTGCCTCCCCGAAACTACAAGAACCCCGTTTACTCCTGCAAAGTGTTCCTGGGAGGAGTCCCGTGGGACATTACGGAAGGTGAGCAGCCCCTGGCCCTGCGCTGTGGGTTTTGCCTCCGGGAGGGTGTGGGGTGGAGCCTTTTCTGGGATATTGACTCCTCTCCTTCTGTCTGTAGCTGGACTGATCAACACCTTCCGTGTGTTTGGCTCCCTGAGTGTGGAGTGGCCTGGTAAGGATGGCAAACACCCACGCTGCCCTCCCAAAGGTAATATGCCTAAAGGTAATAGCGACACGGTAGGGTTACTTTTTTCCCATGCTATGTTACAGCACGGATCTGGGCTGGTACGGCTGCATGCTGGTGACTGGATGGTACAGAGCACCCTAGGGTAAATGTCCCACACTCACTTGGGTGAGCACCAGAGCACTGTCACCTTGAACCTGGTGTGTCCCCCCTGTCCCTAGCAGGGCTGGGCAGAGTGTGGGGTGGGGGGAGCCCTCTCTGGTGCTTCTGGAGCCCCATGAGGGTCTGGCTCGCCCTGGGTGCTTGCTGCCAGCACATGCATCCTCGAATCCAGTCGTGTGTCTGCAGTGAGCTGGCAGCTTAGGGACTGGTGAGCTGAGCAGTGCCTGGGGTGTCCTTGTGCCTGAGGTAGCTGGGCTGATGTGTTGTGTAAGCAGTGATGAGTTCCTCAGTGAGGAGCAACTAGTTTGTAGGCTCGGTGGTGCCTGGTGGCCTCATTCAGTTACTAGCACAGTGTGAGGTGCAGAGTGCTGGTGCTGTGGGAAGTGATTTTGAAGCCCTGAACTTTGTGTATTTCTGGGCCAAGACATCATAAGTATCATAAGTATCATAGAATCATAGAATAGTTAGGGTTGGAAAGGACCTTAAGATCACAGAGTTCCAACCCCCCCTGCCATGGGCAGGGACCCCTCACACTTAAACCATCTCACCCAAGGCTTCATCCAACCTGGTCTTGAACACTGCCAGGGATGGAGCAAAGTCTGTTTCCCTGCAGACCACACTGTGGCCTGGCTGGTGGTGCCCACTTGTCCCATCTAGATGTGGCAGGGAGGATGGACAGTGGTCCACATGGCACTGGATGTGGACAACCTGCCCCTTTGTGCTGGGTTTGGGCTATTTCTGAGCTTGGCTGAGCCCTGGGCATCTTGGGTGGGTTGTGTGTGGAGGGACTGCAAATTGCCCTCCCCTAGAAGGGCTTGTGAATAGCAAGGAACATGCAGTGCAGATCCTTTGGCATCTGAGAGTGATTTTTTGAGGGTGTCTGCAAACAGGGATGATCTTTCTCATCTGCTCCAGTTCTAACAACTGCTTCTTTCCCTTTACCTCTAAAAGGATACGTCTACCTGGTGTTTGAGTCGGAGAAATCTGTGCGTGCTCTCCTCCAGGCATGCTCCCAGGACTTGCTAAGCCCCGATGGGCTCTCTGAATACTACTTCAAGATGTCCAGCCGTAGGATGCGCTGCAAAGAGGTGAGCAGACCTGTGAGAGTCACTCTGCAGATGACAGCAGGAGATGCTGATGAGATCCTTGGAGACAAGGGGATGGGCAGTGTTGCTATGCTCTGGGAAAGCAGGGCTAAAAAAGAGCAGCAGAAGTCAACTTGCTCTTGGCTCTCTTTAACTGATGTGTTCCTGTAGGGCAGCTGGATGTGGGCAAGGAGGGAAGTGGCAGGTCAGTGTTTGTGACCTTCACAACAGCTTGTGTCCAGAACTGTGGCATGGGTCTCCTGGATCTGTGGCAGACCCTGGCTTCATGAAGCCAAGTGGCTTCGTGCAGCTGGAAAGGAGCACAGGAACAGGAATTTTTCTGCTTCATGCTGCTTTCAGCACACCTTTCCTTGCAGGGACAAACTTTGATCCCCTTAGTGCTTTGTTAGATCTCCCATGCTTGCAGAATGAATGGCTCTTGTGCTCACTACAGGCAGGTATTTTGGATCCACAGCTGAAGTTGCAGCCTCTCCCCAGTGTGGTTGTGGCTGCCTGACCTGTGGAGGTGGTGGGGCTGGGCTCAGCCTCCTGGTGAAGGGAGAATGTAGCTGTAGATGGGGTACAGCTGTGTAAACTTGTGGAGTTAAAGGATTGAGATTCAGCTCTTACCTAGGCAGGCACAAACTCCTTGTGCTTCAGAAGCTCTCCTGGTGTGTGGCTGTTGGCAGTGCTTTCATGCTTGGTGATCTAGTGCTCATAGAAGTTTATCCTCTCCAGAGCCCTGTATCAGCTGCTTTGCATATGGAAACTCCTGTTGAAATTAGCAGTGGTTTTCTGTGCTGGGAGGCATCTCACTGGGCTGTAAATGGAGGGTACAGACAGCAGGAGGAATCCACTTGTACATGGATTGTATCCTGGCTGCCAGCCCTGAGGAGGGACCAGGGCTTTGGACTCCCATTTGGCTGGAAGTGGAGCAGTGTGGCTGTTGGGTTCTGTGCGCTCTTGCAGGCATTTGGAGCAAAACTGGAGCTCCAGAGCTCTGGACATAGGCACTGAGCAGCAGTGGTGACACTTGGAGGTTGGGGTCAAGCCCAAGGGCCTGGGCTGACCGCTCCCCTCAGCTGAGGTGCGGTGGGGCAGCGCAGTGTGCAGGCCCTTGGCTGACCCCAGCTGCTGTGTGTGGCTGCAGGTGCAGGTGATCCCGTGGGTGCTGGCAGACAGCAACTTTGTGCGCAGCCCATCGCAGCGGCTTGACCCCAGCAAGACGGTGTTTGTGGGGGCTCTGCACGGGATGCTCAACGCGGAGGCGCTGGCGGCCGTCATGTACGACCTGTTCGGAGGGGTGGTCTACGCTGGCATCGACACGGACAAGCACAAGTACCCCATCGGTAAGTGGGGATCCCACTGTCACACATGGTATGCTCTGAGGAGGCTGCAGTCCTCTTGGCCCTTCAATGGGGAGGACTGCCCAGGGTGCCAGGCTCTACCAGTGCTCGCTCTAGGAGGAGACTTCTAGCCAGCCTCTTCCAGAGGCAATGCTCCTTGCCTGCCAGCCATGGGGAGGTAAGATGAAGCTTGGGAGGGCCAGCAAGGCCAGCAAAGCCAACACTCCTGGGAACTGGAAGCTTTTAGATCATTGCCTCACTGCCCCCAGGCAGTTCTCCAGTAGAAACAAGAGCGAGAGCAGTGGGAGGAAGACAAACTCTTCTCACAGATAAGTGATTAAGGGGAAACTGCACCAGGGGAGATTTAGAAGGCTCTGAGGAACAATTCCTTCCCCAAAGGGTGCTCAGGCATTGGAACAGGCTGCCCAGGGCAGGGCTGCAGTCAATGTCCCTGCAAGTGTACACACACAGTGGAGACAAGGCCCTCGGTGTCATGGTGAGTCTCCCGTGTGCTGCCAGGCAGGAGCAATGTTGGGGTTTGCAGAGCTGCTGTTTGCTCATTGCTGTCCTTTCAGGCTTTTCAGGTCAAGGCTTGGGTTTTGGATGTGCCATGGTGCTGCAGTGCATTGCCACTGAAGTGGCTCTGGGGGAGGGCAGTCCTAGGGGGTTGGATGTGTGAGGCTAAGTAGATCCTTGGGATGGTCATGGATGAAGTCCTGCACTCTAACCTGCCCTGTGCTGGTACTGTGGGCTCCTAGAGCAGGACTTAACACGGAGCTTCATGCAGAGCTCAGGGTGCTCCTTCAGGTGGGTGAGATCTGCCCCTGATGGCAGTTGCCCAGACAGCTTTTGGAGGTCCTGCTAAGGAGGTGGACTTGATCCCGCTGAAAAAAAGATCCCCTTGTTCACAGCAGTGATGCTGAGCTGGCACTGGGCCCTCCAGCCTTGTGGTGCTGCAGGAGAAGAGTAGATGAGTCCTGGGTAAGGCTTTGCTCTGGTTTTAGCTGTCTGCTGACAGTCTGGGTAGTGTAACAGCCAGAGCTTCCCTTACACTAAAACACATAGGTAAGCATGGGTATGCTTTCCTGGAGCTTAACAAAACTTGGCTGGAAGCGAGTGGTGCAGGAATGCTGCTGACTGTCAGGGAGGGAAGCTGCGAAGCGCCTGGCTGGCGATGAGTGGGAGGCTTAAAGCTGCTGAGCTGTCTGGGCCCCGGCTTCCTTCAGGTGCAGGTGTGGAGCCTCCTGCTGCTGCTGCACTGCCCCCGAGCCTCCCACTGCTGCCCGGCCGCTGCCGCCTGCAAGCTCGGGTCACAGCAGCCCAGAGGTGTTCATGGAGAAGCTTTGCTCCTCTCAGCTCCCTGCTGTGCTGCTGTGGCTGCCTGGGAAAGGAGGCAGGCGCAGCCGTGAGGCTTTGGATGTGGTCTCCCTTGGAAGCTGCGGGTGACTGGGCACTGTGGAGCAGTAGCTCCCCCCAGCCTCCACCAGCTCCTGTCACAAGTGCCAGGTCAGTCTAACACTCATGGTCGGTCTGTCTTGCAGGGTCTGGCCGTGTCACCTTCAACAACCAGCGCAGTTACCTGAAGGCTGTGACCGCTGCGTTCGTAGAGATCAAAACCACCAAGTTTACTAAGAAGGTGAGTGGGGCTGATGGAGCATCTGTGGAGCCGTGTCTGTGGGGTGGGTGCTGGGCCTGGGAGCACTGTGACCCACAGAGCCTGCCCATGGAGGCAGCAGTGAAGGGTGCTGTGAGGATTTGGGGTGCCCCCAGCACTGCTTCATGCCCGCTGCCTGTTCTACTGCTGCAGGTTCAGATTGACCCATACCTGGAGGACTCCATGTGCCAAGTCTGCAGCACCCAGCCCGGCCCCTTCTTCTGCAGAGACCAGGTGAGGCTTTTCCTGCTCAGCTGCTGCACTTCTGGGGGAATGGGTGTGTTCCTTGAGGAGGAGGAGGTCCCATGGGGTGGTGCTGCTACTGTGATGAGCTGGAAGTGCCATCACCCTGCATTTGGTCCCAGGGGACTCTGGCTGACCTCTGGCAAAGGAGCTTTGCCAGGGTCCAGTGGCTTCTCATGGAGTCAGGATGGGAGCTGGCAGCAGGGGTACTGTGAGCCAGGCAGCAGCCGCCTGCAAGTGCACAGATCCCCATTGTCAAAAAGGGCCACGCTGGGATCTTGGTGGCCAGAATTCCCTCCCTCTGCCTCAAAGATGAGGGCTGCAAAACCAGGGAGGGCAGGAGGGTGATGCCGCTTCGCCAGCGGGACGGTGCCATTTCCCAGCCCTAGGACGCTGCCCCTCTGCTCTACCCCCAGATCTGCTTCAAGTACTTCTGCCGCTCCTGCTGGCACTGGCAGCACTCCATGGAGGTCCTGCGTCACCACCGCCCGCTGATGCGCAACCAGAAGAACAGAGACTCCAGCTAAAGGGGCCGCCGGGGCCTCGGGGGCCGCCGCAGGCGCAGGAGAAAGTCCTTTGTTAACCCGCCGAGCGGAGAGCGCACGATGCTGGTGCCAGACCCAGGCTGGGAACGTGCTTCCTGAGGACTAACGGGGAGGGGGGGAGAAACCAATAATCTTACATTCATGTTTGCACTTGCTGGTCTTTTTGTTTCTGCACTAATGCACAGTGAATTTTGTTGGGGTTTGTTTGGGGGTGTTTTTGAGGGGGAGGAGCGCCCCTCAAGTGATTCTGCAGTTCCCAGACTTTGGTTCCTAGTTTGCTGATGAGAAGCAAAAAAAAAAAAGCAACCTAATTCCAAGGGCCACGTGTTGCGGAGGTGTTCCCGCCTTCTCCGAGGATTTTTATTTATTAAAGGCGCTTTTTTACATTCCTTGCAATACTGGTGGTGATGATGCAGGTCTCATTGGCTCCATTTCTTTGCAGTTGCCATACAGTGCCTTTCCATTCATTTAACCCCCACCTGAACGGCATAAACTGGATGTTCAGCTGGCGTTTTTTACTGTAACAACAAGGAGACTTTGCTCTTCATTTAAAACCAAATCATATTTCATATTTTACGCTCGAGGGTTTTTACCAGTTCCTTTTTACACTCTTAAAAACAGTTTTTAAGTCGTTTGAAACGAGAGATTTTTTTCTTTCCTGGCAGCTTTTAACATTATTGCAATTTGTGTCTGGGGGCTGCTGGCGGAAGGTTGTGAATCGAGGGGTTTGCAACAGGACAGGCTTGGTTTTTGTGTTCCTTTCTTTTTGGGGTTTGAAACTGGACCGGATAACGGATCTCTGAGCTGCTGTATATAGTTTTAAATAGTTTGTTGCACTTTTTTTAAGTTGCACTTACGGGGGGTTGATAGAGGTTTTTAATCACACCAAGTCACAGGACTTAAACCTTTTTCTTTTGTACCGAGCTACACAAGGGCTGCGTGTCGGAGCACGGATGGAGGTTCGCATGAGCCCTTTCTCTTAGAGGGGACGAGTTCTTTTTCCCTTCCTTGACGAAATGTACGGAGTTAAGGTGCAGTCGACTGAAATGCTGCTGCTGCTGCTGGGATTTGACCCTTTCATTATGATTTTGATTTATTATGTTTTTTACTTTCCCCTCTATTGGAAGCTGTGTGCCAAAGAACCAGTGTCATAATTTCTCCCTCTTCCGTTGTGTTTTTGGTTTTGTTTTCTCTTTTCCTGCTGAGCTGATGTTGCATTGTTGCATATCCCAGCTGCTCTTTGTGGGGTTTTGTGAAGCTGTGTGTGAAGTCTCTACCTCATTGTAGTATACGCAGGCAAGACTGCACTCTCCTACAGACGCGTGGAGTAAGCTGTGGTGTAGTTTTTGGCACATAATAAACACGTTGCAGCAAAAAAAAATCCACCTTTGTTGTCCTCCTTGGGTGCACCAGGGGTGGGAACCCCGCGCGGTCTTTGGCCCTTGCTGGGGGACATGTATGGATGCTGTAGGTGATTTGGGAAAGCCTGGCTCAGGGCAGGTAGGGGTTTCTCTGGGGCACCCCACTTTCCCAGGGGCTATCTGCATGTGCTGCCCGGGGCTACCTTCTGGGAGCCTTCCTTCTCCTTTCTCTTCAGCCTCTTTTTTTTTCTTCCTCCTCCTTGTCCTCAGCTTGCTCCTCGCTGCCTTCCTCCTACTTTCCCTGCTGTCCTCACTGACAGACTCAGGCTCTAAAAGGGGCCATGGCTCAGCCCTGCTGCGGCATCCCTCATGGCACCACAGCTTCCTGCTGTGTCCCCACACCCACTGCTGCCTCCCTGCTGCCCCCCCGTATCCTTTCACTGCATGCCCTTCACTGTGTCTCTGAGCCATCCTGCCCGCCCCTACCATGATGGAGTGTCCCCTGCCCTGCCACTTACCAAAGGTCTTGAGCCAAAGGCCTTCTCATCTACTTTGCAGAAGAAGCTGGGGCTCTCCTGAAGTTAATGAGGGTAATGATGCTATCCCGTGCCATGCCACATGGCTGGGCGATGGGGCAAGGGCAGCGGGGTCCTTATATGCAGGGGCACCCTGGCTGTCCTGTGCCTTTGGGGGGAGACAGGACTTGGGGCTCTTTCCTCCCGCCCCCCACCCTTCCGTCTGCACCCGCCCCAGGGCGCTGTCCCCTCATCCTCTGAGGCTGTGATGCTCGCAGGGGCCCAGCACCCCTCTCGGGTGCTGTGTGTGGCGCTCTGTGTCCTGCCGCGCTGGCCATGGGCCGCCCGCCGCTCCCCGGAGCCCCTTCCTCACCTTCCCCCGGCGCTCCTCAGCCGCGGCCGGCGCTGGCTCCGGGCGCTAGGACCCGGGGGGGGCGGAGCCTCAGCCGAGCCCCTGGAGCCCCGCCCCTCACAGGAGGCCTCCGAGCCGCATGGGGGCGCTGTGAGTTCCCGGCGGCCCCGCGCCCTCCCGTCAGCCTTCGCTCTCTTTCCGCGGCCGCCGCCGACATGGTGAGTGCGGGCCGGGAGCGCCGCCATCCGCCGCCATCCGCGGCGCCGAGGGGCTGCAGGGAGCGGGGATGGGCCCCGGGAGGGAGCGCAGGGCCGGGGCGTTGCTGAGGGGCTGCGGGCCGGGGGGAGCCGCGGGGTCCGGCGGCGCCTGAGCGGTGTTTCCTTGCCTCCCCCCCCCCCGCCGCCCAGGGACGCGTCCGGACGAAGACGGTGAAGAAGGCGGCGCGGGTGATCATCGAGAAGTACTACACGCGGCTGGGGAACGACTTCCACACCAACAAGCGCGTGTGCGAGGAGATCGCCATCATCCCCAGCAAGAAGCTGCGCAACAAGATCGCGGGGTGAGGCGGGGCGGGCGCACCGGGCACCTGCATCGAAAGTGACCGCGGCCTCCCCGTGGCCCGGCCATCGATAGTGCAGGGAGAGCAACGGCGGCGGCTCCCCCGTGTCTGCGGGGCCGCGTCCCCGCGGGCCCTGTTGCTGCCGGACACTGCCCTGCCCCTCACTGCCCTCCGCTGGGGAGGGGGGGAGCGTCGGGGGCGAGCACAGCTCAGCCCTGCCCTGCCCGGGGTTTGGGAGCGTGATGTCCCGTGTGTGCCCCGCAGGTATGTCACCCACCTCATGAAGCGCATCCAGAGGGGACCCGTGCGGGGCATCTCCATCAAACTGCAGGAGGAGGAGAGGGAGAGGAGGGACAACTACGTCCCCGAGGTGAGGCTCCGGCTGCGGCGGTGTCTCGTCACCCCACCCTGAGGGGTCCCTGTCAGCGGCCCCAGGTTGCACTGAAACGCAGCTCCGGCTGGGATGGGCTGAGGAGGGTTGGGGTCAGGAGGGGCCGAGGCGGATCCTGGCCTCGTGTCTGGTGCTTCCTCCAGAGCTGCTGCCCGGGCTGCGGAGGGCGGTGACGTTCCTGCGTTGTGACTCTTGTCGCTGGTCAGCAAGTGATGATCAGCAAGCGGTCCTCAGCTTTACTAACTTAATATAAGGGAAAAAATCACTTGTGGGGGTGTGGGAGGATGTGTCAGAGCGTCTTAAACCTGCTACAGCAGATGCGGTTGCAAAGAGGGGATGGGTGAAACCTGCACTCACGAGGGGTCAGGATCTGCCCGTGGCCCTGTTGCTGATGGTGCTGGGAGAGGAGCTCCAAAAGTGTTTCCCTGTTCAATGTGTTCAGTCCCATTGCACCCAAACCTTTCAGCCATGGCACGGAGCCCCTCTTCCAGCTCTTCCTGATCAGCTTCCAGTGGAGCTGCTGGGTTCTGTGCTGCCCCAGACGCTCAGTCCTGTCACCTCGGTGCTTCCGAACTGCCACTGTTGGGGACTGCTTATGTGAAGGTTGTTTTCAGTGAGGGTCTGGGAGGAAGATGGATGAAGGTGGGGTGTCACGGCAGTGTGGTGCTGCCTCCCCCTTGGAGATCTGCTCCAGGGGCAGGCGACACCGCTCCACAAGAGACTGGGGCCTGGTTGACTCCCTGTGGCTATAAACAGTGTGTGGAACGCTGGCAGCACCTGCACAGAGACCTTCCAGCTAAGTGTGGGAGGCAGGACAGGATGGTGCTGGTGGGAGAGGCCCCGGCTGGCGGGACCCCAGGCAGGGTCCATGCTATGGCTGGTGATGCAGCTGAACCTGAGTTGTTTGTGGTTTCTTAGGAAAACAGTGGTGTGATGCAGCCTTTTGGGGAAGGAAGCATGTGGAGATGGGTGAGGGGCTTACAGGAGATAGCTCAGGGATTAAAGAGCAGGAGACCTCAGGTCCTTGGGGTGGGACAGCCACGGTGGTCACTCGCTGTAGCTGTTTGGCACTGCTGGGGTCCGGCTCCAGCCCAGCTTTGTGTCACAGGACAAGTGCAAGTGTCAGTGGTGACCACCAGGACCGGTGCAGTTGTGGACCTGACTCTGGCTCCGCAGCGTTGGTGTGGAGCAGGCTGGGCCTTGGCCTGCCAAAGAAGAGCTGTAAAAGAGGCTCTTCCCCTGTGCCGGGAGCTCTGCTGCTGGGTGGCCTCTCGGTGTTTTGGCAGGAGAGCTGGACTACATGGGCTCCTTCTGGCTCCTGCTGTTGCTGGAGCCCTTCCCCATGACAGGCAGTGAGATCTTTGTTGTGGTGGGACAAGGATCAGGGTGGGCGTGTGGGGACACCCTGGTGGCAACAGGGACATGGCTGTGGGGCCTCATCACACTGCATCTATGTCTCCTCTGTCCCCAGGTCTCTGCCCTCGACCAGGAGATCATCGAAGTGGACCCAGACACCAAGGAAATGCTGAAGCTCCTGGTGAGTGGTTCCCCTGCCCTGGGACATGCAGGCAGGCAGGGGGTGGGATCGTGGCTTTTCCAGGCCCCTGCCAGCAAGGGTGGGTGTGCTCCTTCCCTTCGCTCCTCCCACAGCACCCCATGGTGCTGACCCCATGGCCTCCTCCTCAGCTCTTGCTGGGTGAAGGTGAGCGTGGGTGGAACGACCAGCTGATTTCCAGGGTGGCGGTGGTCACCTCCCCTTCTTGTGGAGACAGGAATCCACCCTTTGTGCTCCCACAGCACATTCACGCTGTGCTCTTGCCGGTGGGGTTGGACACGGATGGAGACAGGGCCGTGTCACTGATCCCAACCCCTGTTTTCCAGGACTTTGGCAGCCTGTCCAACCTGCAGGTGACGCAGCCCACAGTGGGGATGAACTTCAAAACGCCCCGAGGAGCGCTCTGAGTCGGTCGCTGTGTGCCACTTTTCCAATAAACATGGGAAAACCACCCTGCCTGGTCTCTGGAAGCCTGCGTTCCCCGGGATGCGGAGGGAGGGCTGGTTCCTCAGGATGCCATGTCTCTAATACGGGTGTCTGGGTGAGCAGGACTCAACACCTCTGTGTTTGCCAGCACCTTTTTGGGTTCTTTCTTGGCTGTTTGAGGTGCAGAGTTGTTCCTTCACAGGCTCTCCTGCTCCTGGGAGAGGACAACCCTGGTGGCTCCTCAGGAGCTTCCCAGAGCTCCTCACCCTCAGTGCCCCAGGGTTTGTCTGTGCCGCCTCGGAACGGACACGGTGTTGTGTTGTGTTGTGCTGTGCCGGAATTGCTTTTCACAATTCACAAACCATGCTGTATGCTTTTAAGTGCTTAAATGAAAGGAAAAAAGTCTCATGGGATCTTTGTGAGGGGAGTGAACTGGGCTGAACAGAGCACTGTGGCCAGGGCGGCAGCTCCCCTGTGTGGGCCCTGCTGAGGCTTGTGCTGTCCTTCCCTTGGTAAGATGCTCCATTCCAACACTTCCCCAGGGTACAAAAGGCATGGAAGAGTTTGGGGTTTCACTCACACACACACACACACTTTGCAGAGGCTTTGCGTTTGGAGACCTACAGACAGGTCTCTAGCACCAGGACTGTGGGCAGGGTGGGCGCAACAAGGGAAGCTAGTGTTGTAGTGAAGGTGTGTTTGCAGCCATGTCTTAACCCCCCCCAGTACATATAAAAAGACAAAGGGGTTGTGTTTGGGGGAGAAATGTCTGTATTTAAGTTTGCTGTGAAATCTGTCTTAAACAGGTAAAGAGAAGAACCTGCTGCCAGTAACTGAAGCCGGGTATTGACACACCCTGAGCATGTGGGGCTGCAGGCAGGGTAAGGCAGGCAGGATAACTGATAAAAACCTCCTGCCTGGTGTGGAGGATTTGCAGGTGGACAGTTCAGAACCACCAGACACAGAAAGAACAGACTGACAGGTGAAATAACCACAGGAGGGAGTGAGCAAGGAGGCATCCCTGCTGTTTAACCATGGGAATGACATTCCAAACAC